ATATATATATATATATATATAAAATGGTAGTTTGGGATTATAATACATGGAGTAAGATAAATATTGAGCCCATATTGATATAAATGAACAAACAAACAAACAAATAAGGAGAACAGACAGCTCTTTCTTACAGAAGAATTCCAAGTAATAAAAGTAGAAGCTAGAATGAGGCAAGGGAAAGTCACCATTAGAACACAGTAAGAAATAATTATGGGCAAGATCTACCAAAGGATGCTAAAATTAGTGGGGGGAAGTTTGTAGAGAAACAGGATATTTGCATAGTTTCAAAGTATCTTCCCCAAGATACTTATAAATCACAAGGGAAGGAAGGAAGAGTGTAGCAACCTACTGGATAACACTTCAACCAAACAATCAAGGTAAGACAATAGACATCATTAAACCCTGATATCATGCACTGAGAACAATCTTATTATGAGAAAACATCAGACAAACTCCAATTGAGAGACATTCTACAAAATAACTCTTAAAAGACTGAAATACGCTTTTCTTTTAAGGTAAGAAATTATTTTCAAAACACAAACCCTTTTTTACATAATGATATTTAACTGTATTTTTGCATATGATGTGCCCATGTAAACAATGTGCACATGCACACATAATGTGCATAAGAAAGTAATGTGTGAGGGAGTTGCATAGTTTGCAAAAGGATGTATAACGTATGTGCTATTTGAGTAAAAATATAAATAAGTAAGAAAGCACTAATAGATCTTAACTGTGTACTGTTACAGTAATTATCTATTACCATTCCTCTCACTCCTAGTACACCATGAACTATAAAGGAACTTCACACCTCTAGTCCAGCACAGCTCTTCAGACATGGGGTTACTAAATAATCATTAGCTAAGAAATGAATAAAAAGACTTAGGTAAAAGATCTTCTCAAGTTGAAAGCATTTATGTATATACTTATAAACTAAATAACCCTCACTATACTTCTTTCTAGGAGCAAATCTCAGTATTGCCAAAATAGCTTTTTTCTATTCTGGGTTATATTTTACCTATATGAAATGATTATGGGAGTTTATCCTTTCTTTACAATTTGTGCCACCATGGCAATTTAATTTTTTAAATAATTAGTTTAATTCAAATATATTTCAACAACTTTCAATTCTTCATCAGGTACCTACCTCTCATTATAGTAGTCATTAGGGATGTGGTGCAAATAATCTAAGAACTCTGCTCATTAGATGTTGTTATGTTGTTGTTAAGTGCCATCGAGTCAGACCTGACTCATAACGACCCCTCCTTGGGTTTCTGAGGCAGTATCACAATGGAAGTAGACTCCCAACCTTCCTTCCAAGGAGTGGCTGGTGGGTTTGAATCGCCAGCCTTCTGGTTAGCAGTCAAGTGCCTTAGGCACTATGCTACCAGAGCTCATTAGACAGCTATGTGGTATTGCTTGTGCTATTTAAAATAAATAATAAGTGCCCACCTGGCAATGCTGCAGAAGAAAAGCCTGATGATCTGCTTCTGTAAAGATTATAGCCCAGAAAATTCAATGGAGTTGTTCTGTACTTTAACATATAGGATGGAATTGATTTGAGTCAGAATTCATTTGATGGTGATGAGTTTGGTCTTTATGGTTATGGCCAAGTGCTGCATCACTGTTCAATATTAAAATATGAAATCCTTAATAGCAAATGCTGCATTTTATTCTTTGCTATATAACTCCAGTAACTCTTATAGCACCTGGCAGATAGAAACACTTAATGCTTCCAAAAGCATGAGAATATAGAAGACGTATGCAGAAAGCAAGTCTGTTAAGTCAAATTCAGTATCCATTATTAGAGGAAAAGTTGAGAGTCAGCGATTGATGACACAGTGGCTGCAACAATGGGCTCAAACACAGCAGGGATTGTGAGGGTGGCGCAGGATGGGGCAGTGTTTAGTTCTTTTGTACGCAGGGTTGCTATGATTTGGAGCCAACTTGATGGTGCCTAACAACATTAGAGGCAATGGAATCAAATTTCCTGTCATATTCATTGTACCAATAATACAAATTATTATTCTAAAAAGTAAAGAGATTCTCAACAGTTCCAAGCTGTTATTCTGAAGAATGAATATTACATTTTAATAGCTGAAATACTTTCAAACTTAATTAAATATCTTCAGTGAAACAACTTTTTTTTTTAAAGCTACTCTAGCTTAATTTAAAAAATCATAATAAAGAACAATTATACCCATATAAATAGCAGTGTACTACTCTGATGAGCTTTTGGTCAATTTTATCAATATTTTAGATACTTTGTGACCTAACATAAGAATAAAAGTAAAAACAAAAAACAACAGCAAAAACAAGCATTTAATACTGTTCACATCAATGCACAAATATTTACATGAGTCCCAACCACAGGGCCCACATTTCTTAAATGTTTTAAAGATAATGCAATATACAAATGAACGTTCATCTTTCTGTACTTTTAATCCAGTTTTGTGCTATGGGAACACTTAAGCTTTGTCTCAGGTTAACTGCTGTTAGTCTCAGTAAATTTATTTGGGAACAATAGATCATGCTTGCACTGAATTTACTTCTTAGACAAAAGGGCTCGGTGGAAATTTATTTTACTGGCTAAACATCCAAAGAAAATATTACATAAAACAACAACAACAACTCAACTCAGGAAAGAGTATGAGGAATAGAATCAGAGGTATCAAGTGAAAATATGAACCTATGAAGTGCCCTTACCTTCACTTCTTTTTTCTGCTTGTTTTGCTGCATTTTCTACCTTTTTTTGTTTTGCTGCTAAGAGTTCTCTTTTTAATTGTCTTGCTTCTTTCCGGAGCTCTTCACTATAAAGCAAAAACAGTTACATAAGTATATAATATACTGAGAAGGTTGTTTCACACAAATAGAATTGTTAGTTTTCAGGTACATGAAATGTCTAAAACAAATAAGGATTTGCAACATTGTCAAAACTTTTCAGATGATTCAAACAACACCGTTTGTTAGTGCTTGTGGAATCCATTACTCTTGAAATGAAATGCAAGGTTTTTAAACTAGTCTTTAGATCATAGTCTAATTTTAGAGTTTCCAGTTTTATAGTCTCTGGAATACAGTCCTATTCACTGGCACTATATTTAAAACTGTTAAAAATGAGTATGAAAATTGTAAGGTTGGAGTATATATCACAGTGTAAGTGATAAATGGGCTTGCTTAAGCCCAGGCAACATTTTTGGCCCCCTCAGAGTCTAGTTTCTGCTTGAATGGTAAAAGAAATGGCTTTTTTCTTTTCTTTTTTTTCTTGATGGGTATTTTTCTAATTTGAGTTCATCTGAGTTTAAATATGGTTTATATGACATTAAGGAGCTCTGGTGGTGTAGTGATTAAGGCATTTGGCTGTTAACCAAAAGGTCGGTGGGTTAAACCCACTAGCTGCTCCATGGAAAAAAGATGAGGCAGTCTGCTTCTGTAAAGATTTATAGTCTTTGATACCCAGTGGGGGTTGCTATGATTCAGAATTGACTCAGTGGCAGTGAATTTTTTTTAAAAATTTTATTTGACATTATCATTATCCACCAGATAATTCTCCATTATTATTTTAATTCAGTAAATCTGCAATATGCTCTGTCCCAATGGAAACCTCCTCTCTTTTTTTAAACCAACCCAATAAAGTAGTAGCCTAGTAATTACAGTAATCTTTACACATTTAGTGATGGCAAAGGAATTACTAATTCATTCAACAATTTCTGGAACATCTAATATTTGTATAGTACTGTGCTGTGTCCTGGCACAAAAATCAGATGAATGAGGGAAGAGAACTTAACTTTACTAAATGCTTTAAATCAGTTACATCTCTCACTTAATGCTCTCAATAACCTGTGACATAGGCATTTGTCAGGTAAAAAGGTGAGGTTTATGGAGATTAAATACCTTGCCTCAAGCCACACAGTAAGTGACAGAGCTAGAAACTTTTAAAAAAAGAAAAAGAACTGTACAAGTTCTAAAGTTTATGTGCTTTTCATGACAGACAGTACACTGCCACCTTGAGAAAGTCTTTAAAAAACAAAAACTCACTGCCATCTAGTCAGATCTGACTCATAGCAACCCCTCCTTGGGTTTCTGAGGCAGTATCACTACGGAAGTAGATCGCCCCATCTTCCTTCCGAGGAGTGGCTGGTGGGTTTGAACACCAGCCTTCTGGTTACTAGTCAAATGCCTTAGGCACTATGAGAAAGTCTTTAAGGAGCCTAAAATTTGAGGGACGTAAACCATGCTCACTACAGAGTAAAATGTGCTAAATGCCATGACTGAGAAATTACCAAAGGATTTTGGAGTTCAATGAAGTAAAGATTATTGCAGGCTAAATAAGTAATAGCATCACAGAGGAAGCATTTGAATTAAGAATCTCTGGTGGTGTGGTGCCCAAGGCATTTGACAGCTAACCAGATGGCTGGCGGTTCAAACCTACCAGCCACTCCCCTAAAGGAAGACTGGGCAATCTACTTCCGTAAAGATTTATGACCTCGGAAACCCAAAGGGTCTCACTCCACAGAGGAAGAATTTGAACTGGGCCCTGAAAAATAAGTAGGAGTCAGCCATGTGGAGATAGAGTGGAGAAGCATTCAAGCAGAACATCTGAACTAAGACATAGAGGTCTGAAAACGGGGTACACATTGAAACAAGAAGGTTTTTAAAGATTTTAAGAGCTTTAAGATTTTAAAGGGGCAGGGGTTTTGAGCAGGTGGTGATATACGATCACTCTATTCAAAATCTGTGTCTTTCCACAATGTCAGGCTTATTAATACACAAGAATATCAACAAACGAAGGTTGGCTGTCTCCATACATGAAGGACTTATGCAAGCAAGAGTAGATAAACAGAGTTAGTACTTATCAGTCAGTGTCAGGGACGAGCTTGTGGAGGATTCCAATGAGTACAGTTCTCGTGATGAGGTTGGTAGTGATACCTTCTTCTACTTGGTCATGGCAATATTGGTGTTTGTTCTGCTAGACTCCACAGGAGGAGTCAGGAATAGTGCCACACTGGGAGTGTATGGGCTTACTGTCGGGGGCATGCGTCCTGCTTTGCCTTGAGACACGTTGTAGACGCAAGAGACCACAGGGTTACCCCAGACAAGCTGCTGTTGCCAGTCCATCCTCTGTACCGGACATTCCCAGAATATGCTGGTTCCCACCCAAGCTGGCCACTGATGGCTGTTACTTTCACCTCACCTACACCTTGGGTGCTCTGAGCATCCAAGAGCACCACACCACAAACGTGTGAGCTTAGAGCGAGATCACTCTCAAGACTGCTCACTTCAAAATAGAATATCCTCCACCAGACCTGGCCACAGTCTGGAGATAAGGAAGGTCGACGTACACCTTAGCCACTCCACTGGAGGAAGTCAGACCCTCACCCGTGCAAAGGCTCTGGTATTGCTCTGAGCAATGAACTGCTGTTTTGCTGGTCCTTATATACTCCATAATCAGCATTTTCCCATCTTGTCTTTCTATACCAGACTTGTTCTGTCTTTTCTGTTAGCTTGTCCACACCCTTGGTTACTTCTGTCACAGCTTTATGTTATCATCACACTTGTTTAAACATTTGTTCACTACAATTCATATTTCTTGTTTATGTTAAATTTATTTTATTATTACACTTATTCACTATAAGAGGATAATATCAAAGACAGAGCTGGGGAGAGAATGTAGGGCAAAGTATAACTTTCAAGCATTTGTAATTAGCCAAGGAGAATGTTTTCTTAAAATTGAGCCATGCCCTTGTGCTTCCATTTGTCTGTTTGTTTGCTTTTTATAATAAAATTTCTGAATTGCTTTTATTGACTTAATTTTACCCACTAACCATCCATTTAATGCCTTCTAGTAAATGACATGCTTGTTAAATTGCTCCCTCAGATGTAGCCTATAACTTCCTAATCACAAATTCCAATGGGTTACCTGTAGACCCTATCTTGGATCTTCAGAAGAGCCACACTTTGTTGATACTCGTACACCTCTTCTCCTTTGCTATCTCAGACAGTGCCAGGCCAGATCTCCTTCTTCCTCTTTGATATTCTTTTTCTGTTTTCACTGACTTTTACTTTTCTACTTTGTATTAGTTTCCTAGGGCAGCCATACAAAGTACCACAAAATGGGTGATTAAAAACCAAAGAAATTTATTCTTTCACAGTTCTGGAATCTAGAAACCTGATTTGAAGGTAACAGCAAGGCTGTGCTTTCTAGGGGAAGCTACTTCCTTGTCTCTTCCAGCTTCTGGTAGCCCCAGGTATTTCTTGCTTTGTGGCAACCTCTGCCTCTATCTTCACATGGTCATTTTCCCTTTTTGTTTATCTGAGTCTCTTCTCCTAAGGGCACCAGTCATATAGGATAGGGCCCACCCTACTCCAATTTGACCTCATGCTAACTAAATACATCTGCAAAGGCCATTAAAGACCTTGTATTCCCATAAGAGGTCACATTCACAGGAACTGGGGATTATGACTTCAACACATCTTTTTGGGAGATACAATTCAATCCAAAACACACCTTCTGCCCCTCAAATTTAGGTTCTTCTCAGTAATTTAATCTCACTTCTGTCTTTCTGTTTCTTCTTTACACATTTCATCCACATTCAGAACTTCAATTCCATGTTACTTACTATGGTAAATACATAAAATTGAGATTATTTGCCTGACCTCCATTACCATGCTTAAATTCACATTTCCAAATGTCAGACAGACGCTTCCACTAAATATTTCACAATCCTTTCTGTGGTTAGTGACACAGTCTAATTTAGGCCTTCTTTGTATTTTCATGACCTACTGTTACAACAGTCTCCTACTTGGTCTAACTATCTCTAATCTGACCTTTCTTCCATTCATTTTTTAAACTTCTGCCAAATCTTAAAATTCTACTCTCCTGCTCTTCATGACACCATAAATCCCACTGATATACGTACTAATTTCTTTCCAAGCACTTAAGTCTCTCTCATGACTTAACTTCAAACTACTTTTTCAACTTTATCTCCTATTTATCCTCTATAGTTACTCTAAGTTCCAGCCAAACATAGTATAATTACCTTTGCTTAAACTTCACCACACCTACTCCTTTGTTCATGCCATTTCCATAATTTACAATGGCCTTTCTCTACTATTTCTGTCTACTAAAATCTTCATGAACTTTCAAGAATTTATGAAGAAAGTGGCACTTGAGTACAGATTTGGGGTAAGTTTGTCAATATCACCGAGTCTCAGTTTCTCATTTATATATTGTTAATATATATTATTACAACAAGGCTGATGCAAAGATTAAGGATCAATACAAGTAAGCTCACTATCAGGTGCTTAGAAGGCAGTTTTTTTCATGATCAGAATATATTACAGCCAATTCATGACAATTTAACTTAAATTACACAGGCAATTTAAAGAATTAAAATGTCTATAATAACTAGTGATAAAATACTATTTGTTGTTGTTGTTGTTGTTGTTGTTATGTGCCGTTGAGTCGGCCCCGACTCATAGCGACCCCTCCTTGGGTTTCCGAGGCAGTATCACTACGGAAGTAGGATTGCCCAACCTTCCTTCCGAGGAGTGGCTGGTGCTTTATTACATTATTAAAGGTATCTGTTCTTTGTCCACCATTTGCCTATCAGTTTGTCATACTGTGGTGGTTCACATGTTGCTGTGATGCTAGAAGCTATGCTGTTGGTATTTCAAACACCAGCAGGGTCACCCATGGTAGACAAGTCTTAGCAGAGTTTCCACACTAAAACAGACATGGAAGAAGGACATAGTAGTTTACTTCTTCTTCTTCTTTTTTTTAATGCATTTTATTGAAATATATATACAGTGA